ATGATGTTTAAGAAGGTTTGACTTCCGTATGAAACTTTTTCCACAGTCTAAGCACTTATGGGGTCTCTCTCCAGTGTGGACTGCTTGATGTATAAGAAGGGCTGACCTCCGTTTGAAACTTTTTCCACAGTCTAAGCACTTATGGGGTCTCTCTCCAGTGTGGACTGCTTGATGTATAAGAAGGGCTGACCTCCGTATGAAACTTTTCCCACAGATTAAGCACTTATGGGGTCTCTCTCCAGTGTGGATTGCCTGATGTACAACAAGGTGTGACTTCTGTAAGAAACTTTTTCCACAGTATAAGCACTTATGGGGTCTCTCTCCAGTGTGGATTGCCAGATGTTTAACAAGTACTGACCTCCGTATGAAACTTTTTCCACAGTCTAAGCATTTATGGGGTCTCTCTCCAGTGTGAATTGCCTGATGTACAACAAGGTCTGACCTCCGTATGAAACTTTTTCCACAGATTAAGCACTTGTGGGGTCTCTCTCCTGTGTGGATTCGCTGATGTAAAATGAGGTGTGACCACCACATGAAACTTTTTCCACAGTCTAAGCACTTATGAGATCTTCCCACAGAGGTCCCCAGTGATTCCCCGTGCCCAGGAACTTCCTGCTGTTGATTCTCCTCCTCATTCTCACTCACTCTCTCATCACCTGCTGGGAGAGAGAGAATCCAGACAGAAGTCATTGTGCTGGGGAGAAATTAAGAGGAATAGCAGCAAGGAAAAACCCAAAAACCCTGAAGTTGCACAGACGGAGCAATTGGATTCTGTCTCCACTTCCCACCCAAAAGTTCACAGAGAAGGAAAGTTCAGAAGGAAACTCCTGCAGGTAACAGGAGAGGTGGAAAGCGATGTCAGTCATATCTGCTGATTGCAGCCCTGCCCTGGGTGAGATGAGGAAGGAACTAAGGGCACTTATTGATACCACATTTTTGGGATTCTCAAATTTGTCCTTCATTCCCCAGATAGTTTGTGTGTCAGTCCTCACCTGTGTGGGCGCCTCTCGGGATTTCTCTTTCCTCACAGGCCTGGAGATCGGGCACCCACGGCTCTTCCCCTCGTTCCAGCCGGGTGATCAGGTCCGGTTTGGGAAGGGGGAATCCTGTGCAGGGAGTGAAATCAGATCAGATCAGGGTGTGCGGAGGACTGAGAGAGCATCTGTCAGAAAGGACATTCCGTGAGCGGAACCTGTCCCTGTACTGTGCTGGGGAATGTGGAATCTAAGAGGACGGGAACGTGGTCACTGAGACCCCTCGGGGGAGGCAGACATGTGGCGAGGTGAGGAGAATTGTGATGCACACCCAGCTCTAGTGTTAAACCCCTGCCTATTTCTAAACCCGTGGAACCCAGAGCCCTCCACATGGCTGCAGATGTTCCCAAGTAGGAGGGAGAAGAGGGATTCTGTGAGCGATCGAGAAACAACACAGACAGGACAATACATGGGTTCTCCACCTTGCAAACTAGGGGGATCGGGATGATTTAGTATGTGTCTTAGGTTTTGACATCCTGGTCTCATTGGAGAGTAATGAGGGAAGAACCTGACCAGTGTCAGACACACAGACCCCGCCCCCCACCAACTTCCAATAACCAAGGGGCCAGGAATCCCTTACCCAGCGAGGTCACCATCTCGTAGTTCTCCCACATGACGTCCCTGTAGAGGGCTCTCTGAGTGGGGTCCAGCAGAGTCCCCTGCCCCTGGGTGAAATACACAGCCACCTCCTCGAAGGTAACCAGCATCTGAAACAACAAGAATCCCTCACTCAAAACCTGCTGCCCCAGCCACAATACTACTAGTCATATGGGAGGAGAGACAGAGTAGCAGAATCTCAACCACATCCTGCTTAGAGCAGCCAGGAGGCTTCAGGGAGTGGGTAAAAGGTGAGGGCTCCTTGTCCCCCCTAGTACACGGAGGTGGACAGGGTCTTTTCATTTACCACATGCCTGCCAGCAACAGGCTGATATGGGAAGCAGAGCTCTGAGCTGGGGACAGGGACAGGAATACCAACTGCTTCCCTTCTTATTTCACAGCAGCCTCTGGCCAGTGGGGT